CTTCCGATCTAGAGGCTTATTTTGAAGGGTTGGACAAATCATATTATTCGGACGGCTTGAAAAAGTTGGAGAATCGTTGTCGAATCAAGTGAATCGAGCTGAAAAGAGACTATATTGAGAAATAAAAATGAATCAATAAAAAAAAAATGTTTTACTATGTTTTTCTAAAAACTTATTGACTTGTCTTCGTATTTTTTCGCAGTAAATTCTTTACAGATTCGTATAGATGCAAGTTAACATTTATCTGATATCGTGAGGAAAGGGATTTAAGGATAGATACTTTGAGCATCGATTTATTAGATTTGGCAATTTAATTGTGATATTACATACTACTTGGTTCAGAGCGGCGGAGATGCACGCGATTTGCGGCAACGTGGTGTTATATGAACCGAAAATTGTAAGATTCACACTATAATATTATATGGAAGCACCAAAATCCGCTTTGTACCGTGTTGGCGTTTATAAATAATTATTTAACAGTTACAAACGTTTCGACTCTGCTCTTCTTCAATGTAATAAATAAAACTGTCACTATTGCAAATAATTCAATGGTATAAACCTCTGTCAATCTCGTCGTCTCTTCTTCCCATCGTCACAGTCAAGTCACAGTAAGAGTCCATCTATATTTTAACTTTTGCATCGAAACAGCTCGAAAAGTATAAAAAACGCGGGAAAATATTTCAGATAAAAATTATACATCTGCAGGGAGACAAATGATGATAAACATAATTTTCGGAAAAAAATCAATTTTTCAAGGCCATGTAAAGGGTACCGCCATTTTTTTGTGTATGGAATTATATAATTTTTTTACATAGTATAATTCCTTTTATTATTTTGTTTGTAAAAGTATTAAAGTAAAGCTATTTTTTTAAAGTTAAAATTACTTTATAAGATATTTTATACTTGATTATACCATATTTTGACATAAAATATAAAATATCTCGTAAACCATTGATTTGTTGATAATTGTACTTTTATGCACAAAATAATGAGATGAATCAATTGGTCTAAAAAAAATACTCAGTTAATTTTAACAAAAATATGCAATTTGCAATATAGAACATTTCTTTTAAAATTAACAGTATTTTCTTTACACCAATTGATTCATCTCATTATATTGGGCATAAAAGTATTAAGGTATTAAAATATTAATAATTATCAAGAAATCAATATTGAAATCAATAATTTATGAGATACTTCGTATTTTATGTTGAAATATGGCATAATAAAGTATAAAATATCTCGTAAAATATTGAATATTAACATCAAAACATATTTTTATAAAAACAAAGAGAAATTTGCAGACATGATTCAACAAAGTGATAAAATCAACCATGGCTTTTTTCTGTTTAAAATGTAAAAAAAAATTGTCCGGATACTAGGACAATTTTAACTATAATTTTTGAACTCAGCAAGTAAAATTAAATACGAAAAGTGACGTTCTCCGCATGTGTCCCAAATCGCCTAAAATGTATGAACAATTTGATAATCAAGTTAAAAATTAACTATTAAGACGGATGTCTATCATGATGTCAAAAAGAAATCGAATTTATAATAATGTCGGAATCTTCCAATACTAATATCTTTAACAATTATTATGGATTCGATGTCTTCTTAACATCATGACAGACATTCGTCTTAATAGTTAACTTTTAACTTGACTATCAAAAATTTGGACTGTTAACTGTAACGAGAGAGAGAGAGAGAGAGAAAGGGGGGGAGGGAGGGAGGGGAGAGAGAGAGAGAGAGAGAGAGAGAGAGAGAGAGAGAGAGAGAGAGATATGGGAAGAAGAGACGACGAGATTGACAAAGGTCTATGCCGTTGGATTATTTGCAATAGTGATAATTTTATTTATCGCACTGAAGGGGACTCGGAGCAGAATCGAAACGTTTGCGCGTTATAATTGTTATAATATATATATATATATATATCGATTTGCGGTCAGTCGTAACAATTTCGATGTATCAAATTGAAGTAAGTGCATTAATTTTGCTCGATAAATAGTTTATACGCACTTATCTGCAAAGGATTTCCACAGGCCTATAAAATTCTTATATTTTTATTTTATTTTATTAAACACTACAATATTTTCCAAAGATTTTTAAACTCTAACTACCCTTTTTATTATTTAAGACTAAATATTTTCTTAAACAAAAAAGATTAGATATAATAGGAAAAAAATGTTTACTAATCTTATATAAGAAGTTAATAAAAAAAACTTTGAAAAAAATTAATAACACTGAACAAATTTTCATAAACTTTTTGTTTCTCAACAAATAATGGATATTTTTTGTAGAATTTTTTAAACTGAAAAAATATGCTTTTCGAAAAATTTAATGAATCTTCAATTTTTAGAAATTTCATTTTTTAAATTTCTATGTAATAGCGTAAATTCGTAATATATAGCTATAAAATATGTATATGTAAAATATAGCCAAAAAATTTAAATATTCACAATATATAAAAATGAATATGATGGTATGAAACATTTTTTACATGCAATTTGAAGTTTATTGTTTACGTATATTTTAGAATAATAATATTTATTAACAAAATTTAATATGTCAAAAAGTTAGTATTCTTTTATTATTGTATTTTTTATTATTTTTTTGTGAGAAATGAAAAATATATTATAATAATAGAACTAAGAATTTATTTTCCGTAAAGTAAAAAAATTGTAAATTGTTTTTTGTAAAGCCTTTTCAAAAATAAAGTCCATGATATTTATGAGTAATGGAACTTTTTTAATCTTATATTTAAGCAACTATAATACATAAGAATTAACATTAAATTGATTCGATATAATTTTAATATAACTTATAATATGGAAGAGAAATTAAGGGGTTACACCACCTTTGAAGTTTTAGAACGATAAAGTTTGGGATTTTTTGTGAGTAAATCGATAACTTTATTTAAAATGTTTAGAGAACATTATTGTACATATATAAGAAACTAAAAAAATATTTTTTTATTTTTCTTATGTCCAAAATGGCGGCGCGCTGGCCTACACTTGCAAAATCCCTTTTTTTATCGGTGTACAGAATACCAGATACACGGTTTGACCTTGAACAAAACACAAAGAATTTTCATTATCTACATATTAAAGACTAAAAAGGTACATAGGGATTTTTCAAAATATTGATTTTTTTCAAAATGACAGCTATTTTATGAAAGTCAAAATGAATGATATTTTAAGAAAACTTTGTACTGGCAAAAAATATATATTTTTCGTAAAATAGCTGCCATTTATGAGAAAAATCAATATTTTAAAAAACCCCTACGTACATCTGTAGTTTTTAATATGTAGACAATGAAAATTATTTGTATTTTGTTCAAGGTCAAACTGTGTGCCTGCAATCTTGTACACCGATATCAAAATTTAGAAAAAAGGTATTCGGCTAGTAGGCCAGTGTGCCATCATTTTGAAAATTAAAAAAATAAAAAAATATTTTTTTTGCTTTATTATATATGTACAACAGTGTTCTTAAAGTAATTTATTAATAAAGTTATCTGTTTATCCAGAAAAATATCCCAAATTTAGGTATTATTTTAGGGCCTCCAGGGTGTAACCCCTTATTAAATTGCATTTGAATAGTGTTGAGAAACATAAAGAATTTTAATTTGTAAATCAATGTATGTTATATCATGTTTTTAAATTCATTACTTAATTTATAATTTTATGTAACTTATATTTATTTTCGCTTTAATTTAATTCTCTTCCGATATTATAAAGTTATATTAAAATTATGTTAATATTAATTTAAAAGAATTATGTTAATATTAAGTTAAAAGAATTTTAATAATTATCGAATTATTTAAAAGTTGCTTTTGACTTACCCTTTACCTTTGTACCGATCAGATTAACTTGTTCATCGTATGATTGAACGATACGGAGAAATCTTATCCAATTGCATTGACGCTTGTTAAGATTATAATTGGAGAAGAAGACTTCATCATAGCAACCATATTCGCGTCTAATCTAAAAGCATATCGATGATACGCGTATTGATATCAAATTCTTTTTCGATAATATATTGATATGTGTAATATAAAATTATTCTCAGACAACATGAAGTTCAAAATTGGAACATAAGATGTCTAAAAGACGCCTTAAAGACATTTTTGCGAGAAACATTTGAAAGATGTCTAAAAGATTTCTTAGAGACGCTTTTATCCCGATTTTGGACCTTTGTTGTCTGAATTTGTTTTAATAAATAGCAATTGATAGAGGTGCAGAATAAATACATTGATACATATATTGATATTTTTAGTTGTACATTAGGTGGGACTTTGTGCCTAATAATTTCTTTTTAATAATAATTTATTTCACCTAAAGGTTTTTGAATTATGCACCAATTGTTATTCAATCTCAAAATGCCATTTTATGCCAAAATCAAAAATGTAATATCAAATTTGTTACATGCTTACCAAATAATACCAAATTTATAATGTAATATTATTAATGCTAATAAGTATCTTATAAATCCATAAGAAATTTGTTATAAAAAATATCATTTTAATCAGTGTTTTAAAAATTGGACCTCTGTACTATTTACTATTTTTATAAGATAAGGATGACTAACAGTATAGTTAATATCTCAATAAGGGCAACAATAATTCAATTAGCATTACTATGTTATGGAAGTTCAATCAATCTGTGTTAAGGCGTAAGAAATTTGTTATATTGTTTAAATGCATCTGAGAACTAAAGGTAAAATTAATATTTTATCAATTATTATTATAATTATTATAGATTTTAAGTGTTCCATAATCATTGAAAGTTTCTTATACATTTTATTATTAAAGAATGATATCTATTTTTCTTTTATCTATAAAATAATATAAAATATAGTTATTTCTTTGTACAAAGCAAACATCTATCAAATTTTCTTGTAAACTAATTATATGTCATTTAAGAGTACGCAATGCTTTGAAGACTAAGAATGCGCTATGTATATTCTTACTTGTTATGCATATCCTTTTCCCCGCCATATTTTTAATCTTGTCATAATAAATATGTAATAAATATATAATGACTATGTCATCAAAAGTAATTACTTTTTAAAATCTAGTACTATACCAAATTTAATAATTTTAATTAAATTTTATATAAAAATAAATAAATTTATCATAAACCATGTTAAAACTTGATACTTATTTTTTTTCTTTTAAATTACTTTTATTATATACATATATGTAACAAGAGATACGAACAAGATATTGTTTGAAAGTAAAAGTGCTCATCAAACAAAACGTGCCTTTTATTGTTAAATACAGTTCTTTACCCTAAAATTTTTTAAAATAAAATAATACCTTGTATGAAATTTGTAATCAGTGATAACACGAATTTTGTTCCGATTATAAAAGAAAAACATTTATATGTGATTATTGTTAAAGTTTGAGTTTTATACTCTTACCCGACAATCATGCGTACTCATAGACGTTCTATCGGACGTCTATTTGTAAATTTTTATTTTTTTAATATAAATTTTTTTATTACATCTAATTATTTATTAGTATGTTCACAAAATACTTGACTATATGTAATCAAATTATGATTTCCTTGGAATAAATAAATTTTTGTTACAAGCAAAAGTTTATTAAGTGCGCACTCTTACTCACCTTTTTTTTATGAATTTAATTTTTATCAGATATATTTTAATTTTTTTTTCATCATATTTTAGTCAAATTAATTAGATAAGGAGAAAGAGAAGAACTTTCCCTTTTTTCTGTAACTCTCATCCCTTTAATAATATTTAAAACTAATAAATTTATCGCCTATTTTTTCATTGGAGACATTTTTATGAAAAATATATTGTAATAAATAACATATATTAAGAAAGATAAAACTATAACATTTCAAATATTTTTTTTAGCAATTTATTTCAAATTATTTTACAGAAATGTTAAACTTCATAAAAATGTTTGTTTTGCACTAATATAAAGATTGTCTAAATTATTCTTTATTAAAATATTAAAGTAATTCAAAATGATTTCTATGTATTATTTAAGAATTACAATTGGCTACGCTATTAAAAAATATTGACGTCATTACAAAATTATAATTTAAAAAAATTACAATTTATTAGTATAATTAACTTTTTGGAAGAAAGGAGAGAGAGTGAGAGAGAGAGAGAGAAAGTAGCAAATAATGATAAAAAGGAATTGTTAGAATCAATAATTTATATTTAAATTAAGAGATTATAGAAATATAACAGACTAAGAAATAAAGTACTTTTCAATAAACCGTGTAAAATTTTTATTGAAAGAGATAGACGAATAGTGTTTCTTTGTTGGAAATATATAGTTTAATAAGAAAATTAAGATACAAATATATATATATATATAATGTATATATGTATATTGCTAAAATACAAAATTATAGCAAAAATACTGAAATAGTAACAATAATGGTATCCTAAATAATTACAGTCCGTATGCATCTACAGAGTATCCAAAATTTTTTCAGTAAATTATTTGTGATAAAAAATAAACATTTTTTATTTTATACTTATTCTTAGTCTATAAAGGAATTTTATTTAATTTTATTTTTTTCAAACTTAGACATTCAAACATTACGTTTTCTAAAAAATTACGTTTTTTTGTTACAACTTAAGAAAATCATTAAAAATAAAAAAAAATCTTCGCGATCCAATGTGGAATATTATTAAAAGTGTTATTTTAAAATTATAAATTGACTGGATAAACTGTGAATTCCTGTCTCCTGTTTCAAAACTAGTGCTTTGAGAAAAGCGTGTTTGATGAATATAAATCGATTGTAAGATTTAAATTTTTAATAACTTATTTACAATTATTAGTTTATATCACTCCATTTTTATAATTTCTAATTAGTAGAAAATAAAAACAAATGTTATAATTTCTAATTAGTAAAAAATAAAAACAAATATTTTTTCAAATTTTTCAAATTTTATACCGCTTAATATATAGATGATATAAAACTTCATTTTTTCAGAATTTATTTTGAATATACACACACATATATATATATATATACTTATAAAAAATAAAGTTATATAATATAAAATATTTATGAGAGAAATATGCAGTACGCTCGTACTTACATCATTGTCATCAAGAAGAGAATAAAGATCAATCTTGTCAAACCTAATTGATCCTTGAAACGGATAAATCAGGGTTCCCGACGGGATAAATACATTCGACCATACTGAAATTCTCACATCTAATGTACTTGACTCATTCTTGAAAAGATTCTTGCAGGATGACTGATCATTGGTAAGGACCAAGGAAAATTCTCTAGGTATCAATACGCAAGTTTCCATAACAGAGACCCGCGTAGAAAAAATATTTTTAAAATTTATTACACTATAGTAATAATTCCACTTTGCGAATAATTATTTTGAGTACATCCGTGATATCACTATCAAGATAGAATGTTTTAGCGAAATATAATTGAGACACATTTATTATGATCTGAAACACTAGATTTTCAGATAATGTCGCGTGTCAAACAAAAAGTCCATTGCTAATATATTTCAATGCAGATAGAACCATACGTCCTCTGAAAACGACCTATTTAATTTCCAAACGTTACTATACCACGATGGTAATTCGTTAATTACGCGTTAATTTATGTATTTGTCACGTATTGTATTAAAATACGAAGTAAACACATATACATATAGAACCGAACAAACGGAGAGACAGAATTGTTCGTTGTGCAAGGTGCAAGGCCCTCAGCCGACTGGACGGGATTAACCGACTGATCTTGACCTTGCGACGGGTTACCAGCATTTGCTACCGAATGGTTAGCCCTTCCCCTCCTGAAACTACCTATTCCCACTCGCCACACCAAGCTCTCGCCGCGGTCTTTTTCATGGGCGTAGTCGAGTAATAGCCTTAGGGATATCCAACTGGCCTCGACTAGATTTCTCCACTCTTCATCAGCCGTTCACTGTCATGTGATCGAGTCGCTGTTAACAACATGCTCGATTAAATGAGATATGAGAAATCTACAATGTTTTTGTAAGAATGAAGAAATAGATGTAAGAAGTAAGTTATTAATTTATTTTTTAATTCTTCATTTAAATAACTCATACATTCATAAACATGTATATATAATCATGAAACGAAATATTGTTTATTATTTAGGCAAAGCAGACTCTACGCCAGTGCAATGTTCACCCCACTACGTGCACTTGGCGTGAGGGCAACTCGAGTGTGGAACGAATGCCGGTCTGTTCAGCCGGCACAAGGAAGCCGGCCGGTAATCCTCCTCGTCTTCTTCGTCATCTTCGTCTTTGCCGTCGTTGTCGTCATCGTTGTCTTCTTCTTCTTCGCTCTTCCACCATCCACGACGATGCTTCAAAGAACCCACGTGGGTGCCCGAGCACCTGTCGCTCTTTATTCTCTCTCTCTCTCTCTCTCTCTCTCTCTCTCTCTCACTTACTCACTCTCTCTCCCCTTCCTCTCATCTTTCTCTCTTTTCCTCTCTTTCTCTCCCCTCCTTCCTCTTTCTCTCTCTTCTTCTTTGCTCTTCATCTTCTTACAATGTCTGTTCTTGTCTCCCCTACTGTTTCCAGCAAATAGCCTCCATCATCCCTTTTTCTCTGTTTTTGTTGCTTCCCTCAGGCCTGTCCTACCGATCTGCTCGCAACTGCTCACTCCCCACCAATCGCTTCTTCTCCCTGTGAAGCAAATCTTTCCCGCCCTAGAGGCACAGAGTGGATCTCCGTGCTCTCTTTCTCGAAGCTCTTTTTTCTCTCATTCACCTTTCCTTCATCTCATTTGATTCACATTGGTGTCTACGTTTCGCCCATACATTTTCGACCAAAATCAAATAATTCCAATAATTCAACAATATGCGCGAGTGTCGAAAATTATCGCTTGATATTTCATATCTGAAAATTCAAAATTGTATTAAAATACAATAAAATGCATTCGTCATGTGTCAAACATGGATATTTAATTTATGTATTTATTGTAAGATTTTACTTCTTTGTCAGTGTTGCTTTCAATTCAATTCTTTTGACATTTTATCATAAATCTATAATCTTATTCCAATCTGCAATTTTAAATACTACTGAAAAGTTAAATTGTTAAATTATTTATATGTAATTATATAATGTTTTAAGTAACAAACCTTTATAAATTATTTTTTCTTTATTAATTTAGCTTTCTTCGACAATTTATAAGATAATTTATTAAACATTTTTTTAGGTTTCGATATGATTTCAATCGTGATCTACATTTTTCGTTTTTCTTGTCCGACGTCACTCTTCAATGTTCTGCGTAATCTTTTGGATTTAACAAAATAGGATTATTTTAATTTTCATTTTTTATATAATTATAATTGAATAGAATTTTTGTTTTCTATTAAAAATTTTTTCTTGCGCATTTTCTCTTTTATCATAGTAATATCAAATTACAAACTTTTTCAAAATCTTAAACATAGTAAGTTATTCTAGTATGTATAGCATATGTTATTAATTATTGCTATGTTTCATAGAATCTTTAGCTAATATAAAATTAATTTTTCTGTTTTAAAATCAAAATGTTATGCATCAAAATATTAAAAATTTATATTATTAATATACTCAGCGAGAAATATGCTTCACTTATTATATCTTTTACATTTAAAAAAAAAACGAATATTTATCTGTCCTAGCATTGAATCTCAATACATATAATAATAGATTAAAAAATAATATATGTAAAAATATTATTACGATATATGAGTACAAAAAAGCTTTGTAATCGTGTCACTTATACTTTATAAACAATTAGCATTACAGATGCGCGCTTCGCACGTACTATTTAACATTTTTTACTCTTTACTATAATTTGCTATTATATCACATCAACTTCAATACACACATACACATTACTGTCAAAATATACAATGACAGTCGTTCAACGAAGTAAGTGCAGCAAAAAAACTAATCAGTATTGCGGAAAAGCGCCAATACTTCGAGAGATGTGAATTATCGACTTAACATGCTTTTTTTTTTTAGATAGGATGGATCCCACACGATTCATGAAGAGACGTTTTCGATCAATTTGCTTGAATTTGTGATATTTTATAGTTTGTGTATCTTTGATTAAAAATCATAATTAATTTTGGTAAATATTGATAACAACGGATCCAGCCCCAATGACCTTGACCTTCATATATGTTGTCAAGGTCATGACCCTGAGTGATTATCAAGAGATTTTAGCCGTCGCTCGTTATTCGTTAAAAAGTTATTAACAAAAAAAGTAACAAATATTATTAAAATAAATATTAACAAATATTATTAAAATATTATTAAATTATTTAAAAAAAAAGTAATGGCGCAGGCGGGGAGGAGGGGTGCAGGAGGGAGGGGCTCCACCCCTCCCCTCGCCTATTATTTAGCTAATATCTATTGCAGAAACAGAAAATACGTGCTTTAATGCTCCTACTTGTTTAGTAAGGCGAAAATTTAATAAATATTCAACTTAATACACTTTCTACCTTGCGTAGGGGTCTGTCTAATCTTTTCGATGTCTATTATTTTTAGTATACTGTAGATTCATCTATTTAGTAAGGCAGAGATTTAATACATATTTCTACCTTGC